TAAAAATTACGGAACGCTCCGGAAAAATTTCGGGAACAGTTCCGTAAAATTTCCTACAACCACATTTCGCTCCGGAATTACGGAAAAGATACGTAATTTTTATTGAATATTTCTCTCCGTGTATGACAGTGAGCATGTCACTGAGTGATGTTTTATTTATTTTTCGCCATCAATACATTGATGATGGGCTTCCGAATGCTCTGAAATATCTGAAAAGTTTATAGCTTTACAACACTAACTAGCGGCAAAATTTCGGATGTTTACTACCACCTGCAGGGGTACTATAAAAATTCCAATGTTTCGAATACTTCGTGTGAACGGGTATTTATAAAATTCTGTAATTAGGCATTAAAAATTACATTTAACCCTAAGAAAAAAACGTGGATGGATGGTCTGAAATTGCACCACCACGTGTGATTCTCAATGTCAAATTTTGAGGGTTATTCATTCAGTTTACAGTGGTGTGATTCAGAGTTGATTAATTTAAATGTGCAACCTGTTGTGCAAGCGATTGCGAATATACAGAAAATGAGACATCTTGTTGCCCTTGTCGAGGCTCAGCCTGTCTTGTGGGAGAACGGTTAATCCAGGTATTGCAACCAGAATAAACTCATGTAGCAAGCAATTGGTGGACAATTGCCTTCTCCACGTCCAAGTATTGACTTTATAAGCATAAAATTATGTACCAAAAAATTTCACAGAAAAACCTAGCAAATTTGTTAGACAATCCTATTGGATGTCTACTGAGCTTTCTAATAGTATTTGGCCGATTCCATTGACATGTTTAATAGAAAATATTCTATAGAAGAAGTCAATAGAATTCGATTTCTCCATAGAACTTATTCTACTGAGATATTTTCTATAGAATTTCTAAGACTCAAATTTTCTAAATTTTTTAAATTATTGTGGGAAATTCTCAGTATTTAAAATCTCGACATTTCTGAAGAGAAACGTTACATTCCTTGAAGGAGTTTTTAGAAATTAGGGCCATTCATACTGTTCGCGCTCAATGACGAAGACTTCATTCAGGGTTTCAGGATTTTCCAGAGGGGGACTAGGTGGCGGCGACGGTGGAGAAGGTCAGGTGATAAAGCAGATGTCGTCATCTTCATTTAAAAACATCACTTAATTTTCAATAACGAACGGTGCGTCAGGGTTGATACGTCTCGTCTCCAGTTGACTATCCCTCAATGCGACGAAAATGCACCACGTTAAATACCCTTTTAGAAATAAAAGTGGTCAACATTCCCCATATGCATTGATATAAATTTCATTTTATGCTCATAAAATTAGTGCTTGGACGTGGAGGACGTCATTGTCCACTAATTGCTCGCCACATGAGTTTATTCCGGTTGCAATATCTGGATTAACCGTTCTCCCACAGGACAGGCTGGGTCTCGACAAGGGTAACAAGATGTCTCATTTCCTGTAGATCCGCAATCGCTTACACAATATGTTGCATATTTAAATGAGTCAACTCGGAATCACACCACTGTAAACTGAGCGAATAACCCTCGAAATTTTACATTGGGAATCACACGTGGTCGTGCAACTTCAGACCTTCCATCCTTGATTCTTTTTTAAGGGTTAAATGTAATTTTGAATGCCTAATTACTGAATTTATTGAGAATTATTTCCTGCGTCAATCATAAAGTACTCTGTCTTCTCATAAATTTTGACTCACTCATTTTCTCAAATTTTATTTCAGTCCGATGGGGGCACGCTTTTTTGTAGCGGCTTAGTATAGCAGCCGAATACCTTACCACAGCACCTCGCGACGATTCGTAATAATTCGGACATCCTCGATCGGATGATTAATACCGTTGTCGCGAGAGCACACTCTCGTTCCAGCTCTCATGGTGTAAACCAAGTTACGTTTGCTGTAAGTAAATCTAATTCGATATATATTAACCCCGAATGTTATACGTTACAAAAACCTATCTACCCTTTACCGAATCCCCACTTTTTTTTTATTAAATTTTAAATTTAACGGTTTTCGGTGATTTTGAGAGTTTTAACATTTTTTTGTTTAAAACTAGAGGGCCTAGAGAATTTCTGTTAGCGGATTCAGAATCAGCGGAATTTAATCTTTTTAATGCGGTTAATTTCATCTCTGAGAGAGCCAGGTCCGAAATTTTGTCGAACTGTGTTATTGCTGCAATTCATTGTATTATTTTCCATATTTTTGCGATTTGTTACGAAATGACTTCTTATGCAAAAAGAAAATATTTATTGATTGTAGTTGAATGCGTCTGTCGAAAACTACGTTGAATGTGTTTATTGAATGAATTTTTTTTCATCTATACATGTGTTATTTAGAAATATAATTCAAGTTCATTTTTTTATTGAATTTTTAATTTATCGGTTTTCGGTGAGTTTGGGGACTTTAGCATTTTTTTGTTTAAAACTAGAAGGCCTAGAGAATTTCTGTTAGCAGATTCAGAGTCAGTGGAATTTAAACTTTCTAATGTGGTTAATTTCACCTCTGGGAGAGCCAGGGTCCAAATTTTGTCGATCTGTGTTATTGATGCAATTTATTTTATTATTTCCCATATTTTTGCGATTTGTTATTAAATCACTTCTTATGCAAAAAGGAACTATTTATTGATTGTACTTGAATGCGTGTGTTGAAAACTACGTTGAATGTGTTTGTTGAATGAATTTGTTTTTTTAATCTTTACATGTGTTATTGAAAAATACAATTCAATTTCATTATATGACTTTAATACAAGTCTTCGAAATGATTTAGCTAACCGTTTGATTGAATGAAGTAACGGTTGATAGTGGACGGGGAAAAAATCATGTTCCAGATATTCTGTGAAAATAGAATTTCCACTGAAATGTCAGTCGGTGAAAAATATCAGGTAACATGGCATCCAATTAATTCTGTCTCTGCAGATGAAAGTTGATATTCCTCCATATTTAAACCGTCTTTATTTTGACAAAATGTCCATTGGAGTAGCAATGATCGAGCGAGTGATCGAATAGAAAATTCCCCTTGTGTTTCACTCTATAATTCTCTGCAATTTTTTAATATACTACTGAAGAGATCATGCGAGAATGAATGTATTTCAAAAATAGTTGAATAATAATCCTATTGCTATGATTTATATTTCATGTATTGATAATTATTAATATTAATTATATATAATATCAATTTATTCTCATGCAATTATTGAAGTGAAATTTACAGTTATATATACAGTTATATATTACAGTTACATAAATTTCTTCATCAAAATGCAAATTTTAAATGACGAAATTCATTCAAACATTGTTTTATCTGTAGACGCTAGTTAAAATTTTTGGTTGAATTTCCATTATATTTTTTAGAAATTCTTGTCATATTTTAGTTCCACCGAAATTTCAAGGTATTTCCTCATTAAAAATTGAAAATTTTACGGAAAAATTATTGAGAACCGTAAATTTCAGCTCAATTTTTCAATGGAAATGAATATAAATCAGGAAAATACCGGTATAGTTTTGAATTTTCAATTAATTGACAATCCCGGTGGCTTGACGCAATGGTTAAGTTCGTTGCCTCACATGCGAAAGGTCCCGAGTTCAAAACCCGGCCGGGTAGAATGGTGCGATCTAAACATTTGAAGTCTTGATCATCATCGCAGTATACCCTAGCCCGGTCGAAGCGATGTAAAATGACGATAAAAAAAAATTAATTGACAATCCATCGAAACTTGGAACTGATTATTCATGTTTTCTCGGACAACGCAAATCAGTTGAGGAATTCTCGTTTTTGAGGATATCCAAGTACATTTTCCAATTTGATACAGACTCCACTATAGATTCAACCATTTTCAATCATCAAATTTGTCAATTAAATGGCGCCAGAAAAATTTGAGAAAAATCATGAACATTCAGCGTCAATCAAATAAATTTTGCACAGAATTATTATTCTTTAAAACATTTGTAGTTTATGAATGAATAATTGTTCAAACAATTGGAAACTTAATTTTTTTGGGTATGAAATTCAGTTCTGATAAAATTCTGAATATAAATACATTTGTTACGATTCCGAACGAATGATTTTTATTATTTCCTCAACCTTTCTCCAAAAATGAGCTTTCTATATTTTTTTTTTAGATTTTTCAATGTTTTCTAACAATTTGACATCGGTATTCAAATTCAGACCTGTAAAATTTAAATAATAAAATCAGTGTAGAATGTCTGAAACTTGAGGTCGAATGGAGCTCAAAGGAAAGCTCTGATGTTTGACTATAAAAGTAGAAAAGCACTTCACTGCAGAAAAAGTAGCCAAAATACTTGAGTACCCCTAATTTGGAATTTCATTAAATTTTTATATGAGATATGAAATTGCATGAGTTTTATCCTCTCAATTCCATGCAATCACGCACGAAAAAATTTAATAGAAAAATCTAGCGAATTCTCTAGACAATTCTGTTGGATTTCTATTGAACTTTCTACTATTTTTTGGCCAATTCTATTGAAATGTACAATCGAAAATATTCTTCAGAAAAACTCAATAGAATTCGATTTTTCTGTAAAACTTATTCTGTTGGAATATTTTCTATAGAACTTCTTCGGCCCAAATTTTCTAAGTTTTTTGATTGATTTTCGTGTTGAAAATAAAATAAAAATAGAATGAAAAAAACTCAGTAATTTTGAGCCGAGTAAATTTTATAGAATATATCCCAATGGAGTAACTTGTATAGACAAATCGAATTCTATTGACTTTTTCTCTAGAATATTTTCTATTAAAAATTTCAATAGGATCAGCCAAAAACTAACAAACAGTTCAATACAAATCCAATAGAATTGTATAGCGAATTCGCTACGATTTTCTATTTAATTTTCTCGGGCGTGATGTCACTCAATGAAATTTCAATTTTCCGCCAACAATGTATGTGGAAACATCATGAGACTCGCTCATACCCTCAAAACAGCAAAAACTGAAAAATTAGAAAGAAGTAAAATTGAAAGAAAATGAAATGTTCTCCAAAAAAGTAATAAAAATTACTCACTGTTAAGCTCAATAACAACAGTAGTGAATGGTGGTTCAGCCAGATTAGTGTTATTCGCTTTGCACGTCAATTTGGCATGATGCTGGCTCCTGGCTAGATCCCTGAGTGTGACACGGTTCACAGTAACCGTGTTAATCTCACCAGTTGGTCCCTGGACCTCACGTTCTTCGTACGTTGCGTCGATCATTCTGCCCTCCAGAAACCACATCACCTGAGGTTTTGGCTCCCCTGTCATTAACAAAATATCCAGTATAATATATTACATATCAATCAATAACAGAGACACCTTAATTAAATCATCAATGGAGGAAGTGTTTCTGTTCATCAGTCTAATTGGGATTGGTAAACGCCGATCCACTCGTCTGTCACTACTACGTCACCATCTTCCTTTGATGCCAATGCCTCAAACGAGATCATACACAATTTCCAATTCAACGGATGAATCAATCAGTTGATTGAATTCAATCAACCTTAAAAGCAGGAATCACGAAAATGATGGATCTTCATGGCATAATTTGTCATTTCGTCGATGTTCCGAAATTTAATAATTATTGTATTTAATAAATACAGAAAAATAACTTCATCTTATTGCTAGAATACACACAGAAAAATGGTTCTTTTGAATCAAATAAAAATGTTGAGGTGCAATTCTTTACTTCTTTCAAGAATATCTTTGTTGCAAATGAATAAACTTGCTTAGTTATTTCGAGAAAAGAGATTTAATTATATTTAACAAACAATTTACTTATTTCAAATAAATGGTTTTATTATATTAAGAAAATGACATTTTAATGTATTTTGTGAAAGACTTTCGAAAATTTGTTTCAAAAACATTCGTGGGCTGTGTGAAAAATGGTCGTATGAACCTAATCTAGGAAACGTGAAATCTGGACAATTTGCGCTCTGTACATGCGTTCAACAATTTTTATGAACGTAGTGAGTTATTGCTACGTACCGTTCCGTAAAATTACTCAATCGTTGGGGAAAAATTACGGAACGACTTATTTCTAAGGAACAAATTTTTACGGAACAAATCGTAAAATTTACGTGGCGATAAGTACAATTTCAATTCCGACTCACACTTTTTATTGAATTTTACTTCGTTCGTGGATTACGTTTCGAAGCGTAATTTTTACTCTAATTTTTACGTTTTTGTGCTGGTAATTTTTATTTAATTATTCTATTCTATTTTAATTTTTCTATTTTCTAAATCAAAGAGGTACAGAAAAAAGTCTTAATATTAGGGTGTGACTTAATTTTTACAGATTTTGTCTTCGAGCTTAAAATTATATTGAAGATAGAAATATATTAGCGGTCTTTTTTGGTTTTGAAAGGATCGGACAGAAGGTTTCAGAGCACGGAACGACAAGTCTATGTAAGTTACATAACCTTTCAGAATAGCAGAGTTTACGATGGCAACTGATAAATAGCACATTCGGCACTGCATTTTATACGAATTCCAACAAGGAAAAAATGCATCTGAAGCACGGGAATCAATGTGTAGTTTTCTTGGTGCCGACGTTGTACCTTATGAAACGTGTAATTATTGGTACAAACGTTTTAGAAGTGGTGATTTCGATCTGAGTGACCAGCCGCGTCCTGGACAGCCTCGAAAGTTTACAGATGAGGAATTGCAAGCACTACTGGATGAAGACTCAACGCAAACGAAACAAGAGCTTGCGGCTCAGTTAGGAGTCACCCGAACAGCTATTTCTAAGCATTTGTGTCAAATGGGAAAAATTCAAAAACTTGGACGGTGGGTTCCCCATGTGATGACCGAAGACAACCTAGGTCAACGTATGAACACGTGCCTTTCACTGCTTGCCCGGTAACAAAAAAAGGACTTCTTGTGAAGAATTGTGACGGGCGATGAAAAGTATATTTTTTACAAGAATCCCAAATGTAAAAAGTCGTGGGTAGATCCCGGACAATCCAGTACATCGACGCCGAAACAGAACATCCACTTAAAGAAGATTCTCCTCTGTATGTGGTGGGACATGAAGGGTGTGCTTTATTACGAACTCCTGGAAACAGGTCAGACGGTGACTGCAGAACGCTACAGCCGACAACTGAACAAACTGAGCGAAGAACTTGATCGGAAAAGGCCATTTACTGGGCAAGGAAGCAGGCAAGTCATACTGCTGCATGACAATGCTCGACCTCACGTTGCTCGCGCGACTCAGAAGACTCTCTTAAACTTGGGATGGGAAGTTCTCCCGCATACGGCATATTCACCAGACTTGGCCCCATCCGACTATCACTTGTTCCGGTCCATGCAGCACGCCTTAGTGGATAAACAGTTTAAAACGCTGGACGATGTGCGTAAATTCGTCGATGACTATCGCCTCGAAGCCTGCAAGTTTCTTTCGCGACGGCATTCGAATGTTACCTGAGAGATGGCGCAAGGTCATAGGAAACGATGGATAATATTTCCAAGATTAAGTTCGTTGTTCTCTATTGTTTTATATTAAATAAATTTACTGAAAAATCTGTAAAAATTAAGTCACACACCTAATATAATGTTAATATTTCCCGTCCGTGACTTTCCAGATATTTGTTAGAAACAGAATTGAATTCACGAAATAAACAATGAATTGATTTCTCGACTTTGTATTACCGTTAAAAAATGATGACTTTTATTCAATAACCTCCGCTCTCACGTTTTATCAACACAAACACCCGATCCGATGTGGTCCCCATTAATTAAACGACGCGCATTGGCGATTGTGTGGGAGTACATCAATTAAACCGTGGGAGGAGGAAATGGGAGAAACAAAATTTCATAATATCCCTGTATAATGGTACCATGTACCAAAACAGTACGAAATAAATAAAAATAATATCGGGAAGGGCTGGGAATTAATTTAGCACATCGAATTAATGCCCAGGATCAATTCAATGCTGAATGCTTTATTATTTAATACAGCTACCATCCGCTTGTTTTCGTTAATCTGTTGCATGGTTCCGGAAATCCTAGGATTTTCGATCAATGGACCATTCAAAAATTCAACATTCAACATTCATGAGCGATTGAAAATTAATAATTGGATTCGATTGTTTATATTTGTAATGAATGGTCAAGCATAATCAATTTTATATTAGGGGAGGGGGGGCAAAACGGACCAACGGGGCAAAACGGACCGGAGGGCAAGTTTGAGGGGAATCAGAAAGAAATCCAATGATGCAGACAATGTTCCATGCATTTATTGTGAAAAACGTTTTTATGACAGTGGTGGGGAGCGGATTCAGTGCCAGAGTTGCAACGGTTGGGCTCATTGTACCTGTGCTAACATTGATGAAAATGCAGGACCCACGTACTTTTTTTGTGACGAGTGCAAAGAATCAGACTAAAACTTTATTATTTATTACTAACCTCATATTTTATATTTGTTATTATTCATTATTGTTATTCATCATCATTGTTATTATTTATTTTTGTTATTAATCATCACTGTTATTATTTATTATTGTTATTAATCATCATTGTTCTTATTCATCATCATTCCATCCAATTTCACCAAGACTTTTGATTAGAACGTGGACATTTTCGTATTCATTAGAATGAAGTTATCTTACCATGATGTTGTTCTCAATTTTCATTAATGGCAGTATACTTTTCACGTTCACCTCTAATAATAAATTATAAAAGTCAATTACGAAGTGAAAAAGGTGTCATTATTGAAAGAAAAAACTTTCCTGCGGGGTTTAACTGGTTCAAAAATAGTATCTGGCGTCTAACTNCATCATTGTTCTTATTCATCATCATTCCATCCAATTTCACCAAGACTTTTGATTAGAACGTGGACATTTTCGTATTCATTACAATGAAGTTATGTTACCATGATGTTGTTATCAATTTTCATTAATGGCAGTATACTTTTCACGTTCACCCCTAATAATAAATTATAAAAGTCAATTACGAAGTGAAAAAGGTGTCATTATTGAAAGAAAAAACTTTCCTGCGGGGTTTAACTGGTTCAAAAATAGTATCTGGCGTCTAACTNCAAAAATAGTATCTGGCATCTAACTTCATCACCCACCGCCCACCACCTCCTCCTTCATCACTCTCACCCCTCCTATTCAGTGATGAATTTTGGAAAATTTTATTCGTGAGAAAAAAAAACTTTTTTTAGGGGTCCATTTGGCCCCCAGCGGTCCGTTTTGCCCCCCCACCCCCTATTTATACTGATGGCTCCTGAAACCACGCAATGTCAATGTTCAAATAAATTCAGTATTTCCAATTCGCATAATGGTTTTCAGTTCAGATGAACTTCGCTTACGTGGTCTATGATATTGGAGGTTTCATGGACAGTTGACTACCAATTTTCAGGACAGTGACACTGAATGCGATTAAGGGAGAAAAAAATCATGAAATTTCAGGTTGCACTGAAAATTCAAAGTCCAGAATTTTAAGCGGCATAAAGACGAGAAATCCTTAATTTATTTGAATTTCTAATCAAATATGAATATTCGGCGTCACATTAAATTGAATTTTTAGTGAAATCTGAAATTTCATGATTTTTCCCCCTAAATCCTGAAAATTCAAGGATATATTTACCAGAATTTCCGGAATTTGGCACGGAAAATTCAGACAAAAATTTTTAACAGTGTAAATTGTAACAAAGGAGAAGGGAAAATATATTAGAGATTATTGTGATTCTAATTATCCCTCATTGTCCCGTTTATTTGATTAGTAATCAACTATCCATGAAATTTCCTTTTTTTTTTCTAGCAGTGTATTTTTCAACGATTTCAATGGCAATTTCTGGCGCTGTGATGTCAGCTCCCCTAATAATTTCCCACTTCACAAAATTCTAAAATGAAAAGAATCATTTTTGCATTCAGAAGCCATAATCACACGAAATTATTCTGCCATATAATATTCCATTTCACTCTGTAATTTCCTATCCCACAATAATATCCCGCAATATTCCCCCTAAAAGCTATGTTAAAGTAACCCCACAATATGCGTTATCGCACATTACAACCCGACCCCTGCGTTGCACGCGTGTCATCGTTATCAGTGGGTAAACTAAAACAGTTATAAAGCACGTGTGTTCAACCCACGAAACAGCGTCACGTACTCAATGAGATAGAGAGAGAGAGAGTGAGAGAGGGGCACAACGAGAGACACAAGTAGTTTAGATAGAAACAGAGGTGTACAACTGGAAATTCCCGAGTTCACCTGGGGTAGAGGAATTCTGCGTGACTTTATGCGACAATAAAAT